GTTCAGCAGTAAAAGCAGATGATGCAGCAAGGCTGGGAGAAAGGGAAACCCCACAAGTGGCCAATGTAGCTGTCTCTGCCATACATTGGAAATGTAGGCTGAGGGATGGAAACCCAGCCTCAGCAGCCTCACATCCTGCCCCCTGATCATCTGGGAGGATTTTTCTCCCCCTCTTGTTCCCATTTTTGTCCACTATATCCAACATAATCACTCAACCTTACCAATGTGGAAACCTCTGAAACACCTGGTATGAACAAGTTGCTTTGAAAGAGCATAGAAATTCTCCCCAGCTCACCTCTCAGTGCCTGTTACCCAGGGGGGTAACCATGCTCAGCTGGATGCCCTCACATCACTCCGCTATTTCAACAGCTGCTCATGGCAAGAGCTGTGACAAAATACACAACACAGACTAACCTCACCAATCCAGACCAAATGACCTATATCATTGTCTTATTTGTAAATAATTCTTTCATTACAGCTCACCTGAATCACCCAGGGTGTACTCACAGCATTTAAATTTTAATGTCTGCTTTTTTTATTACATGCATGTTTTGGGGTTGTTTTTTTTCTAATCTTCAAAGAAACTGAGCAACTAAAAGTAGTGTTTTAATGCTCAGCTAAATGATTCAATACACACACTTCTTACATGAACACTAGGACTATATTTTCCCATGGAAAAAGATGAAGTTGCATCATTTAAAGTCTGTTGGAAACAGCTGAAACATTAACCTAAGTTACAAAGAAGTGCTATGAGAAATCTTACCTGGTTCCTAACATATTCACACAAAAAAAATAAGATACTCGGACAAGAAGCTAACCTACCTCACAAACTCACACAGGCTTCTCTACCAAAAATCAAAACACAGAGTTTAAAAAGTCAACATCTGTCAAAATATTTTGTTTGTACCTTTTCTGCTAATGCTCATTGTCTCACATTCCATAAGCTTTCTGCCTTTTGCTGGCCTAGCGCCAGGAAGAGAAACCAAATTCTAAGGCTTTCCTTTCTCTTAGAAATTTGATAATTTGACCAGACAGAGCAATTGCTCTTCAAGACATCTTCCTCCTTTTCCTGAACCTCCTCTTTCCCAAGATAGGCTCTTGGGAAACTGAGCTATTTGCACCACATTCTGAGAGTAGAGAGAGTTCTTCTGACTAGTGAGCTTGACTGCAGAGTATTCTCACACTACACAGGCTGTTATTGCTGATACATCCCCACCAGCTGACATCCCAAGGCAGCAGCTCTGCTGCCTCAGTCAGTGTCACTCTGTGCCGCGTGGGTCAGGAACTCTCACCTGACACATACTGGGAAACACAACAGACAAGAGTTAAGATTTCTGAAAGCACCTAAGTTTCCACACACAAACATACTGTGTGCTGCACATATTACTCAGATCAACTTTGCTTTGTTTGAGACATTCCAATGAGCTCCCAAAAGCAGAGACAGCCTTTGCTGTCTGTGCTCTGCTTCTCACAAAGGCAGCTTTGTTCTGCCAGAAACAGCCTTGTCAGGCATGGGAAGCCTCTCTGGTGCTCCTGGAGAGCTTCCATTAAACATGCTCTAAGTCAAAGTTCCTAGATATAAACCTTAAGCACTTCTGACTGAAGACAGCATTTTTATCAGTTCATGTTCTTTAGCTCACCAAACTTGTCTGAGGAACCAAACCCACCGATAATGACCCTCAGATTTTTTACTTTTAAGTAAAGGAAAGGATGGTTAAAATACAGCCCAGCGGGACAGATGCTCAGTTTTACTAAAATTTTATGACAGAAAGGTGGATTTTGCCACACTGAAAGACCCTGGAAATGGGAAGTGATAGGTTAGAGAGCCTGAGAAAGAAGCTTCTGTTTTCACATCACTTTCGTGATCTGCACAACTGAGGCTGTGTTAAGCTCACCAAGTTCTGTTCCAGCTGAACAGTACTGCATCAATCAGGAAACAAAATATGTTTTCATTTAAGTTTCAAAAGAAGTTACAAATTCTGTTTTTACTCCAAGTTATAAAAAACTGAGTTCGTCAACCATTAGAATCGCCAGACAAGAAAGAAGAAGATTATAATTTTAGGCTAGTGTGGTATTTTTCCATTCTTTCTTTTTCCCTCCCACTTCCTTTTAAGACTATTAATCAAAAGGGTTGTAAGAATTCCCCTAAAAATACTGCTCTCCCCACCCCCATCTCTGCTTTAAATATTCTAAGTGAGAAATTTAAAAGTGGATTTAATTATTTGAAAGGCTTATTCAACACAAGGAAAAATCACAGGAAAAAACCCAAGCACATGGCTATTCACAGAGCTGTACTGGTCTGGTCAGCTGTGCCTGACAAACAATCCAAAGGAGAAGCAAAGTCTACCAGCTCATTACACCTTTGATTTCTATCAAGCCAACTAAAAAAGATGGCCATTACCCCCTAATACATGATGATCTTGTGACATCAACATTTGTCCTGCAAAAAAATGGGGTCATGAAACTTTACTTTCACAATTCACAGTTCACATAAGGACAAGCCTTTAGAAAGCTCTATTCCTTGAAAACAAGGACTGTTACAACCTGCACACCCTGACAACTCTGCTGTGGTGCAATTCTCAATCCTGTGGTGGCTGTGAATTCAGAAAATACCCATCAGAAGTTCAACTACAGGAGAGAAGTAAAAGGAAACAGAGAAGTGAAGGCATGCTAAGTCCAAATGTACACCTACTGTCCAGCTCCTAAATTAGGTTTGCACTGGACACAATATATTAGGCTCTCTCAGATTTAATCTCCATGAAACAAAACCCTGCTACCACATCAACTTCAGAAGACATAAAATCAAACTGCTGCACAACAAAAAGTGTGCAGAATTCCTCACACTTTGCAGAGCTTCAGAGAAATAGGAGTCAAGAAAGGACAGTATGATGTCCGGAAACATGACATCTGGAAAGTCCTGCAAAGGTAAATGCAGGTTTGATGCTAAAGAATTCAGAATATCACCATTTCTACAAGGGGGTGACAGAAAAGGGAGCAAAAACCAGAAGGCTGAGAAGGTGGGAACGACTGACTCCAGAAACATTCCTAGCCTGACAGACTCCTCACCCAACCTTTAGGCCCAGTTCTGAAATGAGGCTACTATTTTTCTGTTCCACAGGTATAGAGCTGTATTTAACGCTGCTCAGTCAGTATCTTAAGCAGACCATGTGCATCCTTCACCCATTGTGCTCCATTTCAAACTGGAAATAAGGTACAAGAAAAGCAGCACATTTTATTTTTTAGTTACATAGACCACAAGAGTTCAGCTGCTGCTCCTGCTACCAGCCAGGCTAGGGTAAAAAACTAATTTTAACAAAGCAAGCCCTCATTAACCAATTTTGTGAAATAGAGTTTCATGTATTCATAACCCTGAAGAACACTGTGAGTGCACACACATATGCATGTCCCATATTAAATAATGCTGGCAGCAACGATCAGCAATCATAAAACAGATTTTTAAGCATTTGTACCATGTAAGATCTGCCAATGTTTCCTTCTCATTTGGCTCCATTTACAATGTCTGTTCTCGTGTCACTGACTGTGTACAGAAACACCCTTACAGAAGGACAACAGCAGATCAGATCATCTCTGCAAGAGCCTCCCAGGCCCTGGTGCCAGTGCTGTGCACAGCCCTGCCCAGCAGCAGGGCAGCCAAGTGACTCCCTGAGGAGGGGACACGTTGACAAGGGTCAATCCTCCAGCACAAGCAGGAAACTCTTGCTCCATTTTTAACAGTTCAGTAAGGGCAGCCACAGCCTAACCTGACACTGTAAAGACTAGGTATGACTGCCCAATGTATCAACATGTACCGTAGCAACTGTTTAGATTTAAGGATGCTCATTTCTACTAGAACACACCATGTTCTTTACTTCCCTGCCAGCTCTCAGGGAAACCCCCCCCCAGGCCTATCCCAGTAAACATGAGCTCAGGCTCAGCAGTGAGGTGAGTCCACCCAACTCATGTGCACGTCCACTGGTATCTGTATTTTCCACCTTCAAACTAGCATGACAGTTTGGGAAGAAATGGTTACTACTCCAGAACAGTTACTCAAGATTCCAATTAAAAAAAAACCACATATATTTGGTGCTCTGAAAGGAGAGAGAACAAAATTCCTTTCTTATTTATTAATACGTGCAGTATTTGACTTCTCAATCTTACATTTTTTGTTGAATTTGCTACTTTGCAGCTGTTTCTTCATTTTGTGGTAACAGTCAAGACACTAAATTGTACACTACATGTCATTAGTTGCTTGGAAGATATTTGACTACTGGGAATCACCACCAGGTATAATTAAAAATGTATTATAAATAATTTAAAGCTATAACTACTAAATTCTAAAATCCTAATTTAAAAAATGTACTCTTCTTTAAATGCAGAAATATATTGCTGCACTTACTTTTTGCTTGCTTCATAAACATCTGTGATATTGGAGAAGAGGTGATGGCTCTCCGTTTTGGTCATTGTAAGGCTCAGTTCCCTGGAATTTTTAAACATCCGGATCAGAATCTCCAAGCTCAGCAAATAAGAATGCTCAGAAGATATCACTTCAAATATTGCCTGCAAAGTGGAGAGGGAAAGAAAAGACTTAATATTGACTGGGCTTGTTGTTGTTCTGCAGTTTGGGTTGTGGTGGTTGTTTTTAAAAAAGACAAAATGGAGGAGGGGTACAAAGAAAAGTTACTGGATGTAAGCTAAGAGATAATATAAATATTTATTTCCATGATTGCATCATTTACTTAGAAATAAGTGATTTAATATTAGAAAAAAAAGACTATATTCAAACTTTCCAATGCAACTGCAAACAGAGAATTTGAAAACAAAAACTTCACACCAACTGTGATCACTCCTCATTCATATTCCTGAGAGGTGGCTGTTCTGTTTTCCAGTTAAAAAAAAATGCCTGCTTTTGTGGTCCAGTTGGAAGCTTCCTATCAGTCCCACTGCTGGTGACCAGCCAGAATCTGCTTTCACTTTTTCTGTTAAAGAGAAGCTGCCGAGTTATTTACTTACAAGTGTTCTGGGGTAACAGAGCTCTGTTCACCCAACCATCTGCAGAAAAGCAAAACCCTGCGCAAAATTCAGGTTTGAGCCATGTATCAGCAGTGATACCTGGTTACTCTTAAAACACCAAGTTAGGAGCAGGCACATGAGCAGCATGGGGAGAAGCCTGAAGGCAGAGCAGACAGGGGGTGGCAGCCACTGTCCCTGCAGTGATTAGTGACCAGACAGCAAAGCCAGAGCTCTGTACATTCCCTCCCCTCCCACAAACAACGTCTCTGTTTTATCACCCTTCCACTTAAGGAGCAGCCACTTAACTTCCATCAGCTGGTGACATACAAAGCAAGCTTCTAATGGACTTAGAAATCCAAATACTTGCTCCATTCAAAATTTTCATCTCTGATGTAGAAACCTATTCCACTCCTAGACACCTTTATCTCCCTAGGCTTTATTTCCTGTTAATCTGACAGAGTTCTTACATGTATATACATGGGCAAAAATAAAATCAAGAAAGGACTAATGTACAGATGAGTAGATTCTTGTCTTATTAACTACCTAAAAAGCTGAGGGCATCTGCTGAGAGAGGCAGCAGCAGCTGGGTAACAGCAACAACATCCTACATGTTATTTCCAAGAGTGAATATACTGCTGTGCATGGAGACACAGCAATGTCAAACTGTGCCAGCCTTAAGAATCTAGAGAACAGAAACATTTGTCAGCCAAACTGGGGGTAAATCTGCCTGTTGCTTGGCTGACAAGGAGCACAGAGGTGTCTAAAAGGCACCTTTTTAGCCTTTGCAAAGCAGTTACATTTCCAATCTTCATTCTCCTTGTACTTCTCCCAGCTGTGTTCACAAAGAAAGGATTTACCTGTGGAGTTCCATGGCTAATTGGTTTCAACTCAGACTTTTTTAACAATCTCTCTTATAATTATTGTTTTGGAGGGGGTTTGTTTATGATTTTACTGAAGACTCTCAAGTACTTCCTCCAGTTTGCTAACAGAAAGTCAATAACATAGTCAGAAATAAATGAGACTAAGAAAGATACTTTGCTTATAATGTGTAAGGAAAGGAGCTCGTATCAGCTTACCAGGACCCAAATATTTTGGAGAATAAAAAATAACAAGGATTAAGAACCAACTTTGATTTTGACATACAGCAACACTACCCCACTCAGAGGCAGCGGTGGCACTGACCAGGTGCTTGCTAACAGTGTTTCTGAACATCTCAAACCACACTGTGGTTCAATCTGCATGGCATCAAGGCAAGCAGCTGTGTGAGTGCCAATGGACAGCAATCACCCTGCAGAGGCCAGATATATCCAGCAGTTTGTGCACACACAATCACAGCTTCCAGCTTGGGAGAATAGAAAAAATCGATCAAAAAATATTTTAGTTCAAATCAGCCTGCCTATATGACATGTTTTCTTCAGACAGAACATGCAGAGACTCACCTCACTATCATGTTCTGAAAGATGGGATGTGTATGAATGTGTGACTGACATTTAATTAAGGCACAAAGCAAACAGGTATTTTTTCTGCGGTGACAATACATTACAATGGCAAAAAGAATTACTAGGCTCTAAAAACAATGCAAAGAATACAGATTAACTGATAAAAGGCAATTTACAAGAAATACACTACTAGGCTCTAAAAACAATGCAAAGAATAACTGATAAAAGGCAATTTACAAGAAATACAGCAAAAGCATGTCTTGGTAGTACAACTACATCATAATGTTTATTTAGGCTTCCTCTGAAAGACTGAGCCTCTAATATTCAAATTAAAAACCCTTCAGGCTTGAAAACATTTTTGGTAACATGAAAGACTTTACATTTAAAAGGCATCTAAATAACTTGCTCTCTTTGAAGGGATGTAAATATGACTCCAGGAAACATAGACTAAAGACTCCTAAAGGATATGACCGAATAAATGCCTTATGTCTCAAAGCTTACAAGCAGGAGGAGACAGAAAAGCAGAACATGTGGCCTGAACTGCAGCACAGCCTCTTCACCAGAAAAAGCAAAATAAGATAAAAGAAATGCAGCATTATTAAAAAAAAATAATAACCTGACAAAACTCTTATCTGAATCTCAAGTCTACAAGATGTTTCTGTATTTCATGTATGAAGACAGCAGCTGTAGGTCATGCAGCTAAATTAAGATGTGAGACTTCTCATACACTTTTGTGGACAGAAAACCCCAGCAAGATCTCTGGGCTATATTCAGAGGTATGTCCTGAAGCTAAATAAAGAGACTGGAACAAATTTCCATGGCAGGTAACGCTACAGTGTTTCTTTTCCCTATGGAAGGACATACCTCAAGAACTGCAGGTATACAGTTGGCTAGGTCAGGCTATTCTTTTCAACACCTCTCATTCATTTGATATAGCCCCTGTAAGTAAGGAAGGAGGGTAAAGGAGACCAGGTGAACAAAGGGAGTGAAGAGCAAAGTGGATAAAGAGGACAAAAGGAACAAAAGGAAAAGACAGAGAGAGAAAAGGTAACTACGTCAGTAATTGCTGCTGTTGTCTGCCCTGTTGTCAGCATGGATGCACCTACTCCATGTCAGTGTGAAAGGAGAACTGTTAATTACACCAGATACACAGGGCTCACATGTTCAGAATTGTTCACAGGATCAGTTACAACCAAGGAACACTGTAAAAAGCTGTTCTCTGTTCCTCACTGCCTTTAAAATACATGTGCCACCTCCTACCCTCTGTGAAGGGAGGTGAATTTTATGTCTTCCCCAGTACAGCACACAGCAGGACTGCTGCTGGGGAGCAGCCACCAACCAGGCCACATCTGCTGGAGGGTGCGTTCCCAGGAACCACTCCTCCAGCAGGACTTTACGGATGCTGGCAGCGGGCACATGCACATCAGCAGCAGACAGGTTTTGTTTTTTTATCCTCCCTGGGGAGAGAAGACACTTCACTCTAGGACAGGAAGCAGTGGGATGAACTTGTCTCCTTATCAGCAGAGCACTAAATCAAGCATGCAGTGCATCCCTAAACAGTCAACATAAAAGAATGTGTTACTTCAAAGAGTACCTCCTGTCTTTTCCTTTCTTCCTGGCTGATTGCTTCTGATAATCCATTCTTCTTCACCTAGGAAAAAAAAATATTTGAATTTTTAACACGTTTTGCAGATAAATACAAACAAAACACAGAATTATCAAAACACAGACAAACATGAAAACCATTTTTTCTTTCTGAGTGGAATTTCTTGACTGCCACACATATATCACTAGGTTTGAGCTGGCCTTCAAATCTCAGTGTCTTCATTTGTTAAAATACTTAAAAGTATTTGGCTTCAATCAGTCAGAACATTATTCTGGAGGAGCTACAGCAAAGTCCCAAGTAGATCCCCCAGTATTTCTCCCCTCAGCCCTGTTCCCCACAGCACCCACAGCAGCCACGACAAGCCTGCCCCAGCTCTCCAAATACACCCATCAGGAGCTCCAGACACAGACTTATCTTCCACAGCCCGAAGCCACATGCTTAGCTCCCAAACTCCACACACCCCTGAAGTTTACTCTTCCCTGGTGCAGATGGCATGCGTTGTCAGTTAACAGCAGAACATTAAAAACAAACACACATGCAAAACAAACATTCCAACAGAAAGGGAAGCACTGAGGGAGGAGGGACTGACTTCACACATTCCCTAGAGGAATGTCAGACACAGGGCTTCAGCTCAGGAGGGTCACCTCTGTACAGCATGCTGGGCCAGGGAAGGGGAAAGAGCCCACAGCACTAGAAACCTGGAAGTTGGTGTTCTCCTTGAGCACAGCATGACACAGGGCCTCAGACTTAACAGTTGCACTTCCATCCTCCCATTTCCCTCTCAGTCCTCTCCAAAAGCTCCTAAAGTACTATGAGCAACAGCTTTCTCTTCTTACTCCACTTGTTCCCTGGAATTTTAGAGTATAGAATATTCCTCATTTTATTTCTGCTTACCAGGCACCACAAACCTGGCCCACAGGCTGAAGGGCAAAGCTGGCACAGCATTAACAAGTGCCACACTTCAGTGTGCATGCACACCAAAATACATCCACGCATGTATATGCTTACAGGAGTAAAATAAATATTCCAGGATTCAGGCAGTTGTTCTTTTGAACACAAGTTACAGAGCCCCATCTACCCACATGCATACACTTCTGAACAGCAAGAATTCAGTGCCTTTCCATTTATCTACCTTTCAATCAACAACCTGGGGGCTCTGAAGCACTCACTGGAAGTACAGTGTCACTCTCCTCTGGATGCAGCAGAGGACTTCAACAACAACAACCAACACAGGGAGTACCTATGAATGTATCTGAGAGATTTCAGTGCTTCCTGAAAATTTACAGTGCAGTTAATGTGGCAACTGCTGTAACCATGTTCTTAGACCTGGAGCTGTGTTTTGTCATCACTGCTTTGTCATACACGGGTGTGCACACACAAAGTAAACATATTACAGAATCACATAAGCAAATGGCTCGACCTCACACTCTTAATCAACAGCAACACTTCCAAGACAAAGAGGTCCAGATACAGAGACTATTTTTGGCATACTCTGTGAAAGAAAATTCAAGTCCTATTTTTAAGGTGTCCCAAATATTTTAGCTGAAATAGCCCCAAAGTCACATTTTGATACTATGCAAACAAAAACTTATTATAAACCAAGAACAAAATCAGGACCGGAATAGGCCAAACACTACAGCTACTTATGTCCTGCTGTCACACTGGACTGCTTTTTTCCAGCAACTCAGGTATGACTGATCCAACGATGGAGTTTCAGGGTAGAGAGACAGCAGTCAAGAGAACGTGCAAAATCTTGATGCAGTGCTATGTAAATATGGACATGAAATGGAGGACTTGGTGCTGAAACACTCATTTAATATTAAATATTTCCATAACCACGAGCATTACCCATGCTACAGGACATCTGTTTCCAGTGTTAGATCTCAAGAATATTTACAAGAATCACAACAGCACTGACAGTAGTAATAAGAAGTGACTGTGCATTATATTCTCCAGGCTGGACAGCAAGGAGGTGGAAAACCAGACATTGAAGTTCAGAGTCCATCAGTCAGATGCACTGGTCAAACTCTGCAACAGGTTGCCCAGGGAGGTGGCAAGGTCTCCACCCATAGAGATACTAAAAGCCTGACTGAATACAGTCCTGGACAACTTGCTCTAAATGACACTCCTTGAGCCAGGGGGGTTGGACAAGATGATTTCAAGGGGTCCCAAAAGAGGTGCCTGATGCTGTGATCCTAATAATGCTCATTGTCATCATGGATCCCAACCAAATGCTGCAGTTGTGGGAATGTTATTACACTTCGCACAGTAAATCAGTTAGTATCAGTGCTCATGATCTGCTCAGTAATATGGAAAGATACTTTTGGAATAAATTTTTGAAATCTTGGTTATTCTCCCTAAATTAAACTTTAAAATTAACAGCTGAAGGCTGGAACAGAGATAGTAAATAAGACAGCTCTTTACCTAGTCATTTACTCAGCTACTGTTAGCTGTCTAATCTGCAACAGAAATCTGAAGAGGAAGAGGGTTCAAGAGAGGAATTTGAAAGGAACTGAATTTAAATAACACCCTGTTTCGTTCTTTAAATCTTCTCCAAAAAGCTCTATTACAGTTTCCCATGTGTGCATACAATGCAGGAAGACAGAAACATCCTTTTAATTATTATTATTATCATAAAGGATTTGAAGGCGTCACTGCCCCTCTCCAACAGCCTGGGCAGAACAGCATCCCCTGCCAAGCACGGAT